TCCCTGCTGAACCTGTGAGGGGCTATCACTCCCTCCCTCCCTTCCTTTCTGCCTCCATTCAACAACCATTTGTCCAGCCCCTGTGATCTGCACAGCTAAGGGTGAGGACCCTCAGCTCCCTGCCTCCCAAGAGCTTACAGCGTGCATGGGAGTCGGACACTGATGCAGAGAACCGCAGTGAATACTGCAGTGACACAGAGACCGAAGGTGCGGCGGTGAGGTGTGGCTGAAGAGCACCGCAGGGTGAGGGTGGCCTCACGAGGCTTCATGACTGGAGTGGGGGCTTGCCCAGCGAGGGCAGGGCCTGCGGGGTAGAGAGTGGCACTCCGCCCCACTCTCGCTCAGGAACCAAGCAGCGGGGATGCAGGATGACTCTGGGGACCCTCCCTAGGGTCACCACGACCCTGACCCCTATGGTCTCCATGGCACCTGAGTTGGGGGCACTGGGGGGGGGGGGACAAAAAGAACAGCTGGTACCTTGACATCCCGATGCGCGATGTTGATTGAGTGTAAGTACTGGATCGCCTCGCCGATGCTCTTCATGATCTCTGATGCCTCTGCAGAGAATAGGGAATGGGGGAGCGGGAAGGAGTCACAAGATGTGTCATTAGGTTTGAACACCCAATACACCGATCCCCCCACACAGCCTAAGGCTCCCGACGTCCACCCCCGCCCCCCAGAAACCAGGGAATGAGGAGCAGCCCTGGCTCAGCTGAGGAACAAGGCCCCAGTGGTGAGCCGGAGAAGGCAGCAGGCCTCCCCGCCTCTCACGAGAGCCCCTTCAGACACCCCGTGCCCCTGCCTGCCTGAGCCCAGGCCCCACAACAGACCCTTTCTACCTCTTTCTGTGAACGCCTGGTCTCCTCGGTCCTGGATTCGGCTGAAGAGTTCTCCACCATCCAAACTGAAACAAAGCCACAGTCAGATGTGAGGACATAGCATCCCACTAGCACTCTCCCCACTGCCCCTCCAAAAATCAGGCGTCTACATTTTAAGCTTCAGAGTCCCCATCTGGCAGTCCTCAGAAGGTGGGGGGCCTGGGTGGGGAGTGGGATCAGGCTGGGCCAGGAGTAAAGCGGAAGGGCTGCTCACCACTCCATGACAATCAGCAGGCACTTCCTCCCCGCGTACAGGTTCTCATAGACGTCCACGATCCGCACAATGTGGGGGCACTGGGAGGCTCGCCAGTGCAGCTCCACCTCCCGGCGGGCCTTGGGGCAGTCCTGCAGCATCTGCAAGCCGAGTGCCTCCTGAGCAACCTCAGCGGGGCAGCCGGCTGCTGCGCCACCTGCACCTACCCTTGCAAGGCCTGGCCCACGCACTCGCCCACATCCCCACCGACACACCACCGACTCTCCCTACCCAGGTCCAACACCAGCCCTTAGCACTTTCCCTGCACTTCCTTCTCCTAAGCCCCGACTCAGAGCTCTGCAGCTCCCTCATCTGCTCTAAAAGGAACCTCAAGGTGACCCCTCGTGGGGTCTCGACAGCTACTCTGAGACCACCCTTGACCATTCAGGGGAAAGGGCCAGCTATGGGCATGAAGTCTATTCCAGAAGGCGAGCAGAGTTGAGCATTGGGAGACAGAGGGTAAAGGACACCTGGGCAGAAAGACAGACCGAGAAAAACCCAAACAACAATGGAAAGGGGCCTAGAGACAGGGGAGACTCCAGATCAGTTAGAAAAGGTACCTCCAAGATCCCTAAACCCAGCATATCAAACCCCGAGCAATGTCCTTTCAACCAAAAGATAGCCTCAGGAGTCAGCCCGGTGTGGTTTGAATCCTGGTTCTTACTAGATCTGCAACCTTGAGCAAGTTACTTAACTCACGGGCCTCGTCCTTGTCCCCTCTTCTTCCATGGACCAGGTGGCCAGGTGTATTAAAGCAGCCTGGCGCCCTCACCTGCCTCAAGGGTTGAATCTTTTTTTTTTTCTTAACATCTTTATTGGTGTACAATTGCTTTGCAATGGTGTGTTATTTTCTGCTTTACAACAAAGGGAATCAGCCATACGTATACATATATCCCCATATCCCCTCCTTCTTGAGCCTCCCTCCCACCCTCCCTATCCCACCCCTCTAGGTGGACACAAAGCACCAAGCTGATCTCCCTGTGCTATGCGGCTGCTTCCCACTAGCTATCTATTTTACATTTGGGAGTGTATATATATGTCCATGTCACTCTCTCACTTCGTCCCAGCCCACCCTTCCCCCTCCCCGTGTCCTCAAGTCCATTTTCTACGTCTGCGTCTTTATTCTTGTCCTGAAGGGCTGAATCTTGACTAGTCTAAGCCAGGCCCTTTACTAAGACCTGACACTGGTCAAGAAGAACTTTATAGGAAGTCTGCTGAGAGGGCTCTTAAAAGGAGCACAAGGAATGCACACCATCTCTCCTGCATATGACACCTGGTGCCATGGCAGTCATCTTGGTACCGAGAGGTACCCTGGGGTGGTGGGTGATGCATCAGGAGCACTAAGAGACCTTCTGGAAAGTGCATGAAGCTTGGTGAGTAAGATCAGATGGCCAGGACGGAGCCAGATTACAGAGGGCAGGGAAAAGCAAACACAGGAATTTCCAAAAATAAAACTAACATTCAGTTATGCTATGGTCTATGATATGCTGGTCCTCTCCTAATTGTACAACGGCTACCCATTTTACAGGATGCGGAAACTGAGGCTCAGAGAAGTAGTGTGTCCCAGGCTCAGTACCTGGGGAAAGGCAGAGCCCACCAGGCCTGGTGGATTCCAAGGCGTAAACCTTTTTCACGATAACACGCAACTTTCAGAGGAGTGGCAGAGACCGAGACTTGTCAGTCTCAGATCACCAAATGCAAACTGGCTTTGCAGAGGCAATCCCCCAACAGGGGCCAAGATAATTCAGTCTCCTAGGGAGCAGGCAGAAGACAAGGTCGCCATGGGGTCACACTGCCACCTGGTGGCCATCTGAGGACACTGCACAGGTCCTGAGTTTTGCCACCTTCAACTTCATTTATTTGGATGGACCAAGGAAAAAGGTTATTTTCCTTTCCCATGCACTATGAGAAGGAGGAGGAGACGCTGGCCAATTTCATTTGCATGTATTTCAATTCAACAAGCATTTATCGAGCTCCTACTACGGGCCACACACTGTGCCAGATGTCAAGACCAAATAGAAGAGTCCCAATCTGAAAGAACTCAAACTGGGGGGTGAGGGCATGAGGGGAGGTAGACACACAGAAAATGCTTCTAATCCAGAGAGATAATGTGCTGTAAGACTGATAAGTTCAAAGGGTTCAAGAGAAAAAGTTCTCAGAGCACCCAAAATAGAAAGACCTCTATCGCCCCCTACAGGCACATAGGAACTGAAGCCCAGAGAGGAAGAATTGAAGTTGTCAAATTTACTCAGAGGCAACATGAGGTCATTGGATTTACAATCATGAGAGACTTGGGCTTGGTCTGGAATTTGTCAATTTCTGGTTGCATAGCCTTGGAGAGGCTATTACCTTTCTGAGCCTGTTCCACATTTGTAAGTTGGGGGTTAAAATACCTGCCTGGCCCCCTCCCTCACAGAGCCATTGCAAGCATCTAATGAAAGAACACCTCTAAGTGTGCTTTGTTATCAGAAAGGCACTCACCACTGTAAACCATCAGCGTAACTGCCACAGCACAGGGGCCCTCTCCATCACCTCTGAGTTGAGGCTGGAACATCCTGATACAACCAAGAAACCCTGATATATACAAGTCACCAGCAAGACTATAGGCTGGGATCCTGTCTGCAGCGCTGTGACCACGGCCTGGAAACCAGCTCTGGGCTCTAACCAACCACAGCTGTGCTAAATGAGGACACACCAAGGCCCAAACCCAAGTGCATGCCCCTCGGCCCCTCCTAAACTCAGAGCACGCACCACAGGTTCTGCCTGCTCTCTTTGCTACAGACACGTTAGCGTGTGTGGCATTAGGTAAAGGAGAATCTACAGCCAGAACGCCTGGGTTCACATTCCACCTCCAGGTTTACACACAATTCCTCACCTGGCAGAGGAGCTGGATTGGCCTAGCACAACAAACCTGGTCTTGGGAATCGCACACAATTTGCATCCCAGTTCTGCACTTCCCAGCTTGTGTCAGGCAAGCCAATCTACCTTTCTGAAAAGGGTTTCCTCATCTGTAAAACTGGATTCAATGTGGCAAAATAAGAAAATTGGAAAAAGCAAGTATTTTTAAATTCTAAGAGAAACATAGTAAGAATTTCCCATGAAGACTGGTAATTGACAGCCAGGTATGTATTTATCAGAAATCCTTGAATGGATATAAAAACCAGCCCACACAATGAAGGCAAGACCTTCAACCCAGTCAGGAGGACAGGCTGGCTGACGTCACAGGGGCAAAGCCATTAAGAGCCAAAGAGACTTTGTAGACAGCTGTGGGATACAGAAGCCTGGAGAGAGGAAAGCAAGAATGTGCTAATCTGGAGTACCAGGCTAAGTAAAGATCAGCAAGGGGGCTGCTGAGCTCTGAGCCAGAGAAGAGTCAGGGAGAGAAAACAGGATTCCCCGGGTGCTGCCAGGGGCCACCAGCAGAGGAAGACAGCAGGTTCAACCAGAAGCCAAGAGAGTCACGTGGGAAAGGCTCCTACCTCTTTGGCCTGGACAAGGACAGTGGGGGCGAAAGGGCCCAGAACCACAGCCCTGAGGGCTCACGTCTGAAGGAAAGAAGGGTCTGCCCACCAAAAAGCCACAGGCCCTGAGACAAGGAATGCCTGAAAGGGATTATAAAATATTTTAAGCCCATGCTAGGCCTGGAATGGATACTGCGACTTGCCTCGGTCCCCCTGTAGTTTGCATCTCAAATTCCCTTGCTCTGTAGAGAAGGTTAACTGTTGCATGTGCTAGATTGCAGTGCAATAGGCAAGGTCACCTACCTACCAAGTGTGGCAGGGGGCCAGGGACCAGGCCACAGAGCCCATTGCCTGGGGAGGAACCTCTAGGGTAATGGTGGCAATGAGGGAGCTGTGGGAGCTCTCCCAAAATACTGTTCCATTACCATGCAATCCAGCAATCCCAATCCTGGGCATATATCCAGAAAAGAGGAAAATTCTAACTCAAAAGATACATGCACCCCAATGTTCACAGCAGTGCTATTTACAATAGCCAAGACATGTAAGCAACCTAAATGCCTGCCAACAGATGAATGGATAAAGAAGATGTGGTATATATATGCAATGGAATACTACTCATCCATTAAAAAGAACGAAATAATGCCATTTACAGCAACATGGATGGACCTAGAGATTGTCAAACTAAGTGAAGTAAGTCAGAAAGAGAAAGACAAATATCATATGATATCACCTATACATGGAATCTTAAAAAAAATGATACAAATGAACTTATCTATGAAACAGAAACAGACTCACAGAGAAGAGACTTGTGGTTGTCAAGAGGGAGTGGGGTGGGGGAGGGATGGAGTGGGAATTTGGGATGCAAACTAGTATATATAGAATGGATAAACAACAAGGACAGCACAGGGAACTCTATTCAATATTCTGTGATTACCTAAATGAGAAAAGAATCTAAAAAAGAATGAATACATGTAGATGTATAATTGAATCCCTTTGCTATACACCTGAAACTAACACAACATTGTAAATCAACAATACACCAATAAAATTAAAAAAAAAAAAAATACTGTTCCATGCCTGTCTTTGCCGGAACGTGGAGGGAAGAGGATGGTGCCCCTTATATCCCCCACCAAATCTTCCATCATGAGGCCACATGAAAAGACTCGGGAGTAATCAGCATCCTAAGCCTAGGTGAGCCAGAGAAAAGGAGAGAAACAGAGGCTGGGGCCTGAAGCGCAGCTCACCAGCAAGGCAGATCTGAGGACAAGACAGGAAGAAACAAGCCCCAGGTCCCAAGGCATCATCCCCCTTCACAAGCTCCACCACTTACCAAGTGTGTGAACTTGGGGAAGTTTTTAATCCCTTTGTGCGTAGTTTCCTTATCTCTTAAATAGGATAATAATAGTATCTACCTGTATTAAATGAATTAATACATACGCATTATGTAAATTACTAAGAACAGTGCTTGGCACATAGTAAGCACTGCATTAGTGTTTGCTAATATATTGTTCTGCCCCCCAAACCACCCCCCACAGTGTGCCAGAGTCCCACTGGGGTGGGCAGCTGGGATCCCGCTCACACCCATCTCATTTAAGGTGCTATTAATAGCTCCAGGAGCTCGGTGGAGGGGGACCCAAAAC